GTATGCCGGGGTTGCCATCCTATACGCGTACGAAGAGAGGGATGGACTGCTTTGCTGTCCAAAGTGGGATCAATTGAGTCAACAACTCTTGGATGAAAGCCATGTTTTTTCTGCCAATTGTTTTGATCAGTAATTTTGAAATACAATATGGATTGTATTTAAAGCAAAATTCCGTTTTTAATTAATTAACAAATACAGATATATTATCTATAATAATGTTAACCTTTATATTATACCTGTATCTCAAACTCTTCATTTGATTCTTTATATATTTGAAAGTACTGTAATACCTTACCTAAATGGTTTAATTGGTGATAATTAATTTTGGATGATAATAATAGGGTATTTTATTGATATGAACAATGGATGAACAAGTCTTTAAACAAGTCTTTACATCATATTTTAATTTAAAATGTTTGTCAATTGTTTTAAAAATTTTACATATTTAATGTATTAATTTATATAAATTAATTAAAATTAATATTACATTAATATATGTAAAGTACACACACTATTAGATTTAAATGAAATTTACCAAAATTTTATTTTTACTATTATTAAAATTATACTAGAAATAAATATTCAAAAGAATTTCACCATAAATAAATTAATTAATTGTAAACCTTGTTCTACACGAACACTGCCGACAGAGCAATCCTATAAACCACATTATTTATAGCTGAATTGTGGTTAAAAATAGATTATTCAAGCATTTCTGGCCGAATATATTTGTGATAGCGATCGAGAAAAGTGTGCACGTACCAATTGCCGCTAACAACAGTTTGGCAACGTTGCACAAACTCACGGGTGTGAGCGCTGGCCCACTCGGCACCGGCGATCTCATTGGCCAACTCTACCATACTTTCCTCCGCTTTCCGCATCATTGCGGCCACTCGTTGGAGAGCCGCGTCCAGTGGTATGCCCTCCACGCGGGATAGTATAGCTATGCCGTTGAACACCCGCTCCACTCGACCCCCGGCGTCCATTAACTCCTTGTCTATGGAGTAGAGATCGTTGGTATACACTGTAGCCCTCGCTCCGAGTGTTAAGTAAAGCTGAAACCGTGGGTTCTGCCACTCGGGCTCCGGTACGTAAAGTTCGTACGCGTATTCAATCATATGCATAGTACATTTGGCCGCCACACCATTCTCTCTAATCTATAAAACAAACTTCAATTATTACAAAAATTTTTATCTACAGTAATATGTAGTACAGTCTACTAACCTTGTAGAATTCGTCCGCACTTTTATATTGTTTAGCATCGGTTATATTACGGCATTGATCAATCATACTATCCGTCCACTCCCTCCACAGGTGAACGTATCGGCGCTTTTGGACGTCGTTGTAGTCGACAAGAATATCCTCGTAGAGGGCGTACGCGGACAACATGTATGGCTTCCAGTCGCGGGCCGACACAAATCGGTCACCGAGTAGTTTGTCACACACTTCATGCAATTGACCGATAATATTGTCCGCTTCGGCAGCCTTGAGGCCGACATCGCCTTCTGTGGTCTCGCAGTGGTCATCGATGATGAAAAACATGATCATCTGTCGGTACAGGTTGTAGTACCGGCGCGGGTCCGGGCAATCGGGGTAGAAATAGGAGGCAAACGCGCCGGACGTTGCGATGCGTTTGTGTTGTGTGGGTGTGAATAGACTGCACTCGAACGACCACTTCTGGGCCGCGCTGTACATCGGCTCCACTCCGTCTAATGGGTGGCATTTATATGGAAATATTGACACCACATCTGACGGCACCGGGTATTTAGGTTTGGGCCACGATTTATCAGTCATTATTAGTACTTAAACTACTGTATTATAGATGTATAAATAAATATAATATAATAATTTTTAGATTTAGTTATAAATTTTAGTTACTTTACAAAGCGACTAAAGCTGTTAGTATGGGGGCGTTTATATTAAATATTTAATCACAATTTAAAGTAAAATGATGGAACATAAGGTAAATTTAATTAAAATCATAATTATTTCATAATTTTTAAATTACAAAATGACGATTAATTAATAACCTCTATACCTATTTTTATAAAATCAGCGTTGAAAATATTATGCACATTATTTTTAAAATTTCTGTCATTTTCTAAATAATTTATTTTTAAGTATCAACCCGGTAGATAATTCACAAAACAAAATTTGCAATTTATTATCCATATAAACTAAAAACAATAATCACTCAATAATACCCCCGGCGTTAATTTTTAAGTAATAAATGTAATGTTAAAATTATTATTGAAAATTTTAATCCAGTGTTAATGTTAGTGCTTATAAAGCGACTGAAGCTATTAGTAGTGCAGTATTTATAATTATATTTAATTCCAAAATTTAATAATAATCAAGTGTTGTAAACATAATGTCATAAAAGGCATTACACTTTATTATGAATTTATGAAAATAAGTTTTAAAAACGTTAATAGATCATATTTGAAATAGCAATATAAAAAGTGATCATTTAGATTCTACATTGTAGAACATTGCACTTTCTCATATTCTTTATTTAAATACTGACAATTGTGAGTATCCGGGATATAATGTAATCTAGGTCATAGCGCAATAATTTTTTTGTTGCACCGGCGGCTCCGATGGGCTTTCAATGTCATGTTTCAGTCAATGACATCATCACTGGTTGTCTTCAGACGGCACTCGACTCACAGTTTCAGCTCATAAAGCACTTGGAGGCCGAGTGTCAGTCCCTCTCCACTACTATAGCCACCAAATCGGGTCCAGAGTTTGAGACACCGGCACTCATGTATAAATGCTTAAAATATGTATTAAGGGTTGTATTGAGTGTTTGAGATATGGAGTGCTTGAATGATCAAATGTGATACTCCTGTTTAAATTCAGTTAATATTTTATTTATTATTACAACTTAATCATAGATGGAATAAAAGTTATGTATATAAATTGACTTACATTAAACAAATTATAATTAATAAATAATTTAACAATTAAAGTGCAAAATTATTTTAGATAATAATTATTTTATATATCAATATTATTGATTATTATAAGAATTAATTAAATTTTTATTATTTGCTATATTTGCCGATGTTTAAAAATTTATTACTCAACACAAAATATTAATTAAAAATGTTTATTATTAACAATAATTATCATATTAAATTTATATAACAGAAAAATAGGCAATAGTTTAAGCAATAAATATCTGTTTTATTATCAATGACTAGATATTAAAACTTATACAGTATTTTTAACTATAATTTATTTTATATAATGTGATTCTAACCTCATTGAATTGAACTACACATTGATTTTGCCATTATTAAGCAATAGGATTATTACCCACACCGATAATGTCTATTATAAATGACA